AAAAAAAAAACAGGACACACATATTTTGTCTTTAGACTCTAGACTCTAGACTTTTTAGGACACACATATTTTGTCTTTAGACTCATTTACTTCACACATTTTGAATGGAACTATTTTTACCTCATACTTGTCCATTTTTTTGCCAGTCTTTCCAACTCCAGTTGACAGGCGTGAGATTTTGTGTGGGTGGAGGGACGCGGGGCTGCTACTGATCAAAACAGGCGACGGCAAAAATGAGAGTGAGAAGACAGCCGCTAGAGGGCACTCTAGGCTTGTGTACCAGTATCTGCGACTCCTGTAGCACTGGGAATTTACATCTTCGTTATTATCACTTTAAGTATAATTTTCATCATCATTTTTTTAAAATTTTCTTTTATCATTATTTTATTATTTATAATACTGACATAAGATACTAATCCAATTTTTATTCACAGTATGTGTAGCATAAGTATAATTACAATGTAGACAAAATCGCTGGAGTAGTGCAGAGAAAACAAGAAAAAACATAAAGGCAAAATGCTATGATGCTTTTATCATTTTATACGCCATCTATTGGGGAAATGTGGACATTGCAGGGAAAAGGCAGAAGTATAATCACAATACAAACCAATTATTTGGACAAGTTTGGTGGACCGGATTACAAAGCTGAACGGGCTGCATCTGGCCCCCGGGCCTTAGTTTGCCCATGCCTAGTCTATGGTATATAACATAGACATTTCCATTTTTAAAAAAGTAAGGCAATTTGGATTTTTTTTTTAGCTCAAACAAAACATCTTGGCAATTTGGATCGAAGGAAAAAAAAAAAGCAAAATAAATAAATAAATAAGAAAATAAGATACCAGGCTCGTGTCAATGTATCTGTTCTGCTATTTCAGTCCACACTGAGTCTGACCCAGGTGCGTGACTGATATGTTTTGCTCAGAGAAGTGTCAAAATGATAAGAACATTGGTTTGAGAAACAGTCTGTTTTTTCCACTGACGATCTGTCCTAAAAGGGATTTCAGACCTTAAAGGCATTAGGCATCACGTCTGAGACCAAAGATCTGACAGACAACGATACTTCTGCGGCGCGATGCTGAAGCCGTTCTCACGAACAGTTTTATTTTCTGAGCTGAGCCTTAAGGGAAAAGCGCGAGTGTGCTACTCAGGAACTGTCTGGAACCGGTGCGTAATTCTAACGCTTTCACGGCGTAGAAACAACGACCAGGCACTCACTTTCACGGCGTAGAAACAACGACCAGGGAGAATGATAAACAAGCCTCCAGCCACTAGGTGGCAGCAACTCGTACAGTGCTTTTTAAATATACATGTTCATCAAATTTGCGGGGGTGAGGGATGGGGCCTTGGGGGGGAGCGTGAAAACATTTCTGTCCCCAAGGGGGGGCATGACAAAAAATAATTGAGAACCACTGCTGTAGGTGGAGACGACTAAAGGTGTTAATACTGGCTCAATTTTCAATTTCAGGAAAATTGACCTAAACAAATCGGGAACACAACAGATCAGGGAGCACGAAGCCCTAGGGAATAAAATGCTTGAGCAGAGGTTTACAGTCTATAAATTCATAAAAAAGTCAACTTGATGGTTAACAGTTTTGTCGTGTTGGGGGGAAAGGAAAAAAAAACAAACCAAATGAAATAAACCGGTTCAAGGCGACCGAGGACTGTGGGCTGATAGCACACGAACACACCACAGCTGTTGAGCACAGTTAATTTTTATTGTTTGCGAAACACGTAAGCGGTGAGTCACTTTGCAACCATACGGGGCCCTGTGATTCTTTGAGTCGAGTTAGACTGGCAGTGAACTAAATCACTGCAGGTCGGCACTCTTTTTGTGGTGCGAAAGTGTCAGATGATCCCTACTGTCACACTTTCACCACACACGCAAATAAATCAATGATGCACAATAGCGCGTTGCTTTGAAGGCTGTCACGCATTAGTCAGTGCGCTTAGTTCGAACACGTTCGTATCTCTCTGCAGCAGCAAGCGTTTGTACTCCAAAAACTCTTGTTTCACACCAGTGACACGCAAGTGTCGGCCAACAGCGACTCACTTATCTGCATGCCTTGACTGCTGATCTGGTCCTTTATAGATAACCTGGTAGTTCGTTAGTCAGTATCGTTCTGTGTGACTTCTGTCATTTTCACAGTCAGTAAAACACTTTATATATTTAAAGGTAGGAAATAGTGATCGATATGATACCTATTATTTTTTTTATTTTTTTTCGACACCGATATGAATGTTTTGTGTTATCTGTTTTGTTTGTTTTTTTTACCCAACATAACACATGCATACTGGCAATTTGACAACTTAAATATGTATTTTTTCTGTAACATATTGGTCATAAAAAAATCACATTACCATATTTTCTGGACTATAAGTCACACTTTTTTCATCCTTTGGTTGGGTTTGCAACTTATACTCAGCTGTCACTTACATATTAATATATAGTTTGTCATATTTATATTAATTAATATACACAATTTTACACGTTTGTTATTTTCACACCGACAGCCGCTAGAGGGCACTCTAGGCTTGTGTACCAGTATCTGCGACTCATGTACCACCGAAAATTGACACGTTTGTTATTTTCACACTGACCGACGTTAAACTTGTTCTTTTTCGTACCCAAACACGAGAAGGCTGGCAACTTCTTACGGGAACAGAAAAACGTGAGGCACCCTGACTGTCTGATCCCCCGCCTCTGGTCCTACACCACCGTGCGGCTCACCGTGTGTCCATCATTGCTGTCAACAAGACCTCTGTTCCACCGTATTGATTTGTATAGATTAGCAGATTAAAACTCTTGGAATGACTCCTCCATGTGTATTCAGCTCACATGATGCTGCAAATGAAGCTGTTGTCAGCTTATCGATCGTGTTTCTCTCACGCTGCTCACCTTCCCAGATAAAACCCAGATCTACGGTGGAGGACGACCGAGGGGGGGGGAATTGACCAGTAGACACACTCTGCATTTCCCTGTGGAAACATTTTTCTTTTTGGTCTAATTTCTCAAATGCTCAGTGAGCCAATAAGACCTGTTGTTGTGTATATTGACCTGCCTGTTCGTATTACATTTAATTTAGCATTGCACTTTTAGGATACGGTTGGTCTCACAATACCACGCATGACTGAGGGTGTTTCATGCCTGTCCGGACGATAGACAGTATATAATAGATGGTTTCCCCAGTGCGAGGTGTTTAAGCTGTGATTTACTACGCAACGTGTAGGGTTCGTGTCAGGCATCACGATGGTTGAGGAGGAAAGGAATTATTGATGCAAGTCGAGGACCACCTGTCCTACCCGTATTCCTTTCCTACCACGTAATGCAATTTTTTCCTAAGTCAACTTACATACTGTACATCGCTAACACAGTGTTAACATCATAATCTAGGACATAAAAAACATCAGAGTCTGACCTACACCTGGAAGCCATAATAAAGGGTAAAAAGTCCCTAACACAATATTTTGTATATTTTTGTTTTCTGTACAAACCACTGTATGAGTTGCTGCCACCTAGTGACTGGAGGCTTGTCATCATTCAAGCATTACAGCAGTGGTACACTTATGTCCGGCGTGCCAAATGTACAACATCTGAGGTCTTTGGTGAACCCCTAAAAATGCTAAGATACTGCACATATGTTGGACCACTTTGAGGTAACTAAAAAAAAAAATATCCAAACCATATAAAAAACAAAATAAAGTTGATTTAATCTCAGGTTCTATTTTCTTTCGATTTCCTTTTAACCATTAACGGTTGTTTTTTTTGTGTGTTTTTTTTTTTTTTTACATTTTTTATACCCTCATTTTAACTGTCTTCGGTTGGATCTCCATATGTTTTCTACTTGAAAAACTTTGATTGATTCCTAAACATACCCGATGCAGTAAGGTATATCAATAAATCTTGGTGTTTTTCTCAGCGTACTGAACACACATTCGCTGTTTTTAAAGAACATTGAATTTACATAAAACCTTGAGAGTGACAAAAACAAGGTGTTATCAAAACAAACTTGAAATAAAAAAAAAAAATGATATACAAGTTTATGATATCATCACAAAGGGCAGTCAACTGAGGCAAATGCTATAGATAAAAAATATTGCATAGCAGTACATTAAAAAAGATGCATATTTTTTCTTACAGCAATTATATCAGATGAGTCACCAGTTTTGCCAATTCACTGTCTATTTGTGTCTCCACCACGTCCCGTAAATTCTCCATCATTCTCGGCTAGTCGGAATTCTCAGCCGTTTGGAATGCAATTAACAATGACCTCATCGTCTGCCGATCAGACGGCGGCACATCACGCGCTTTAACGCGGAATCGTATCATTTTTACGACAGAAATTAGATATACTTGGACAAAACGTACCGTCAAAAATACATGTCAAACTCAAGGCCCGTGGACAGAATCTGGCCCGCCACTTCGTTTTATGTGGCCCACCATACTAATGTTTACTGGATTGGTTAAATACAGTGGTCAAATTCCGCATGCGTATAATATACATGCGTGGCAAATTCTTTTTTTTTTTTTTTTTTTTTTTTGTGTTTTTGAGTAAGAAGTTGTTGCAGTCTGTTCAAATTCGATATTTCGTGCTGAGAGCAATCTCAGCACTCGACTTGAATAACCGTTAATCCTGATTGGCTCCCAACATAGACTGGAATTTCGGCCCGTCAAACGATTCCAGTTTGACACCCCCCCGGGCCGACAGGTTATTTGAGGCTATTGTCTCAAAGAACAGACAGGAATTCTTTTTGAACAAAACAGACACAGAACAGGCTGCGACGAGTCCACAGGAAGCTTACTCTAAAGCAGCAGTAGTTTTATTACAGTAGGAGCACATGATCGTCACTGGCGCAAACCTATGGTGTATGAGTGATTACTGCTCATTTGTTCACAAATCAACGTGACGCCCAAAGACTGTTGGAGGGAAATGGCATATTAACAACTCTGACTTTCATAATTGTTGTTTTTTTCTCTCTCTCTCTCTCTCTCTCTCCCTCAGTTCCCAGCCTTTGTATTTGAGCTTCAACTTCCCATGGATATATAATAAAAGCTCCCATCCCAACAATGGCAGCATCACCAGAGGCAAAGGCAGCATGACTGACGTAAGCGTTGACACAAAAGACACATCTCAGTGCTTTTCACAACCGAAAACTTTTTATTGAAAAGACACATCTCAGTGCTTTTCACAAACCGAAAACTTTTTATTGTTTGGGAAAAAAAGAAAAAAAGAAGAAGAAGTGACAGGCAAACTCATTAGAGTCAATTTAATGCAACTGCGGGGGTAGCAGAGAGCCACCTTGTTTTACCGTCACAGTAAAAGAGACAAGCTCCGGAACACTGAGCACTTTAATATAATCAAATATTTATATAAGTGACGTGAAGGACTCCGTTGGCCGACCAAATACCAGGAGAATTCCGATTCGGTTTCACTTGCCGTCCTCCTGGATGTCAAACTGTCTGTTGGGTTTGGTGGATTCTAGCATGAGTTCGTACAGTTGACCCATTTGTTCTTCCTGGAAGTCGGTGAGCTTCCTGTCCGTCAGGTTGGCTCCGAATTTGACGGACGCCGCTGCCGACTCCAGTACCTGGGTCTGTAGGGTGTCTTTGTACATCTGTTGTGATTGGTTGGTGGTTGCGGACACAGAAGGAAAGAGCAGAAGAAAGGTCTCATTAGATATAAAACGAAAGGTTTTTATACCAGGTTATTTTTTTTAATCAATTTTACATAAAATATGTACAGTATTCTGAATTCTGGTGAAATTCAAATTATGTTGTCCCATAGGAATGAAATTCCAATATAGGTCGAGGACCTGTATTCAATTGTAATGTATATACCGCTTATTCTGGAGACCTACAACTAGTACAGTCATGGGCAAACTAAGGCCCGGGGGCCAGATGTGGCCCGTTCATATTTTTATTCCGGCCCGCCAAACTTTTCCCAATTATATAATTTATTTATATTATCATTATACTTCTGCCTTTTCCATGCAATACCCATGTTTCCCCAATAGATGGTGTAGAAAATGATTTTAACCTTTATGCATGACTTTTACATGTCATTTATCTTAGTATATTAGAATTAACGAAAAAGGTTGTTTTACACCTAAATGTCTTAAAAGTCAATTTCAATAAATAACAATAATATAATAAATATCCTCATCAATCCTCAAACTTCGACTCTTACTCAGGGTCAGTTAACGGACTTTTTCTATAAAGTCTGGTCTTTCATGGTTGTGGTTTGTGAAGCAGTTAAGCAGAATGTTTATCGATTTCTATTCTGTATGCCAACAACCCAATCCAGGGATACAGCACTCCCTGTAGTTTTTTTTTTAGTCTCCATGCAAATGGTTCCATCTGGAACCAATCCAAAGCTGTGTCTGAATGACAGGTGCCTTGTATAAACTGGTTGGGACACAGATGGATTTTGGTTCTGGGGACCGTGGGTACCTGATGGCGCGACCGTAACGAGCTGTAATGAATGGGATTGCACTCTCTCTTTCTCCATTCTGCCCTTGTGGTTTTCCCACATTTCCCACAAATGGAAATAACTCCTCCCAGGATTTTGATGCAATCACCATCTACTTCATTATAGAAATTACTGGGTAATCGGTGATTTACCATTCAGAGACCAACAGGATCTCGCTGCGCTACAACATTGGCTCCACTTCTGCGGTGACCAAACGAAGGAAAACAAGATAATACATACATTCAATTATTTCTTTAAACACTGTTGTTGGGTGGGTTTCAAATTTGATTAATTGCCATTATTTAGCGAAAATGTGGCGGCCCACCATGGTCTCGTTTGATCATAAAAAAAAAAAAGTAATAATGATAAACAGTACTCCACCATCTCTGATCACTCTCTCTCTCTAGCTGAGTGGGCGAGCGGGCACTTACACACACGTATTTCGCATGCACATACATCGGACGTCAACAGGATGGTAGACGGCACCCATGTGGAGAGTATTAAGTTGGGAAACGGTGCAGTCGATCTCTACTTCCTATCTAGTCAACTTTTACCATACCGCTAATCTGAAGCTAACATCATGTGTGTCATTTTTTTTTATTTGAATGTGGAAATATTCCATTCAAATGACTTCTTATCACTGTCTGTTTTATGGGAAGCAGGGGACGTTGTTTACAGTTGAAACGTGCTACTGGCGTAAAAAAGCTCCGCCCACTGTCTGTTCAGCTAGCGGTATTATCGTAAGATTTATTGACGTACAGTCTTAAGTAACGGCAGCGTCAATTGAGAGGCTTTTAGTTTATTACAAAACTATTTGTTTCAGCTTGGCTTTAAGTAGCCTTACAGTAGGTTAGTGAGAGGAAAATGAAAGTTAGCCGTGACGTCACTCAAGTTTCAATCAATTTCCCACGGAGTCATGTCACCTTCGCAATACTGGCTTTCAAATTTATTGCATATTTAATTGAAAGCCACCCTAAAGAGTTATTGGCGAGTACACAAATTATTATATATTGTATACACTGATTGGGACGACCCGGCTACCCCGAAAAAGGGACAAGCCAAAAGGAAAAGAAGAAGAAGACTGATTGGGACAACCCCATTAATAATTAATGTATTGGTTACATAAACTAGTTCTAGAACAGTGTAATTTGTACAAAACTAACCTTTATTATTTCATATATCTATACAACTAGTGAAAATATTTAATTAGATTATTTAACATTTATTTATATATTATGTATATTTAATATATAATATTTTTTCTTAGTAATGTCATTTTAATTATATATAATGTAATAATGTAATTTTTTATTATTATTTGTAATTTTTACAAAATAATAGTAGAGATGAGGTTAAGAAGGAAGACGACTGTAAATATAGTTCATGTGGCGCTGTAATATACACGGATATCGGTTAAAATGGCAGTTTTAATCTAGCAATACTAATCGTAAGTGGACTGGTATCTAATTTAAAATATTTTTATTAATTAACAGCGTTAGCAACAAGGAAATTTAGCATACACCTAGGCTCATTTTTTTTCAGTGTAAATCCATACTAACTTAAAAACATTGACGATGATAAATTAATAACTTACAACGATAAGACCATAAGGCGACTTAGAGCTGGTAACTGAAGCTGCTCCGCCCTCAAGTGGTAAATACACGACATTACATCTACAAGACATAAACCATTATTTTTTGCAATTTATTTGCACACATAATTCACTACAGTATATGTAAGAAGGCAAATAATTATAATTTATTAAGAATTTAGTTTTTTGTATATTTTGTATATTATAAGTCTAAAATTGCACATTTTTCACATGTTTTGTTCAATTACTGCATGTGGCGTGCCTCGATACTTTAAAATAGTTCACTATGCTACATTTGTACATACCAGTTATAAAAAAAAGTATACATTTATATTAAAAATATGTTGGTGATTTTACTATCCCTGTAAGATTTAAACCAAATGGCCAGGTTGACTCCAGTTTAATATAAGACTATATAGTGGTGCCTTACATTCACAATATTAAATCAAATGATTAAAACCCGGATGCTGACTGGTGGTCATGACTCAGTGGACCTTAAATAAGGGCCCTATACTGTAAAGGATTGTGCCAAACTTGAGTGAGCTGGGGTCAGTTATACGCGTACAACTTCGCATTTTCCTGCTGAAACTGGTGAGTACATTTAATATATATATATCTATACTGTATACACATATAAAATACACAAGGAATATCAGCACAGACTTAGATGTTCCTATTTGACCTTTTGCAGCAGTTACCCCTGACAGTGATAGTTAGTTAATAAAATATGTTGACTTGGTCTATAATAATATGTAGCTCACCAACATACAGTCATAGTGGTTCGACATGGACATTAGTATCTTTTCTCCATCGGTTTCTGTTTGCCTAACTTTACATTTATACTAGATGCTCGATAAATAAGTGCAAAACAATTAAGTATGGATTGATATTTTGGGGTTAGAAAATGCATTCATATTGTAAAATCTATGGTTGGTCATTCTACAATGTGGAGAAAATACAGCCTTAATTAGCTCTGAGACTCTGCTGGAGCAGAGGTGAAAATCCCATTTTATTAATGTGTGTGTGTGTCTCCGCTTTAAGGTCCTCCACATACAGTAGATAGATAGAACTTTACCAAATGCCTCTGGAGTTTCCTTCAAGAAATATGTATTATGTATGTGTATATATGTATATACGTTCAGTTTATACAAATATATACATACTGTACACATATACACATAAATACATATATATGCTTTATATACATATATTTCATATACATTTGGATATATATGGATATATAAGATATGCATATATGTAAGTCCATATACACCATATCTATGTAAATATGTAGCATATATAAAGTGTATATACTATACATGTGTATATCTATACATGTATGCATACCTGTGTGTGTGTGTATATATATATAAATATATATAAATATGTGTATGTGTGTATATATATATGTGTATATATGTACGTGTGTATATATATATGTATGTATATATACATATATACATGTATATGTATATATACATATATACATATATACATGTATACATGTATATATGTATATATACATATATACGTATATATATGTATATATACTTTTTTTATGTATATATACATATATATATAGATAATGTATGTATATACACATACATATATATATGTGTCACTAAGCAAATGTAAATGTTTTGGCGCTACAATCTTTCTGTGATGATCAATCATCTCCATATATATTTATTGTTTAATCCCTCCAACGGCAAAGGTCAAAGAACTCAAACTACTGATGCGTTTGTGAGTGTAATAATACAACAATTCTGCACTCCTTTACCCAAATTAGAAAAACACACACACACACACACACATATCAGCTTATCATCATGCCAGAGACATGTCACCAGTATACAGGTAAGTTCTGAACTACAGGCAAAACCTGCTGAGCAGTTTGTTAATTCACGGAAGAGCTAGGTTTGAAAAAAAGAAAAACACAGTCACAGGTGACACCTGCACTGTGATGACACGAGGGCGTGTTCTGTAGGTTAACTCCCCCTCCCCCCCCCACCTAACTGATTTAATCAGTTGCAGAGGAAACACAGGTGTGGGAGGGATGGCGACATCTGTGCTTTTCTGAGGAACCAGACTCTGCTGAAATAATCAGCTAATATTCACAAGAATCACCAGGCTTCACCAAAGGCCTGTGGAGCAGAGAGCTGAGCCGACCTGAGACCATGGTGTAAAGCCATCGAAAAAAAAAACAAAGTTATCTCTGACTAACCCTCACAGGACAATGCTGAGGATGAGGCTCGCTCACCTCAAGCCACAGTTTTTTGCTGGACTGCTGTTCGGATTCCTCGCTTTTCATTTCTTTTTGGAGCTAAACAGATCTGCCGAGGAGAGTGTCACGTTTCTGACTTACATACGAGCGATTGAAGGACAGCAGCATAATCACACAGGTAGGAGGAGAAATGTTTTTAAGGCATTTATATTTCATCTTAGAAATCATGTTCTGATCAATCGGTGAATCGGAGCGTCGCAACCTGTCAATCAACCTGTCAATCTGAACGTGTCTGTGTGTCAATCTGAAGTCTTCCATGAGGTCATCATCTGTGTGTGGTTCCAGAGAGTAGCACAGGCATGGGCAAACTAAGGGTTCTGCCCTTAAATCCGGCCTGAAAAACTTTCCAAATTATATAATTTATTTATATTACCATTGTACTTTGGCCTTTTTCCCTGCAATGCCCACCTTTCCCCAAAAGATGGCGTAGAAAATGATAAAAGCATTTTAGCATTTTAGCCTGTATGCATGACTTTTACATGTCATTTATCTTGGTTCACATGAACTCTCCATCTATCTGCTATTTTGACCCGACCCCCCCCCCCTGTTCAATTTTAGGACAATTGTGTCGGTGTAGCACGTCTGCCTTGAGTCCTGGGTTCGATTCCCAGAGGAACCACATACTTGCCTGTTGGAGCAGATCTACTGCTAACACAAGGATTTCTTAATTGTCAGATCAATAACATTGAAATGATGATGATGATTATTAATATTACTGTGCTGAAAAGATATGTCACGTTTACGAAGGGTCTTTGTCGTAACGCCGGGTTAGACTCGCATGAGGCGAAATATTTGTACTACAAACAAGGCATGTTCTGAGGCAAAGCTGGACGAACAAAAACTGTTTACAGTAATCTGTTGTGTCAACAGAAACAGCATGTGTCTTTACTGTTGACGCCGTTTCAACAAGTGTAGGGCATGACTGTTGACTTGGTCGAGAAGACCAAGAGCAAATAAGCCCGTAGTTCAACAGTCACTGTTAGATAACGTGTTGCAAAATATTTGTTTATTGATTTTACTGACCTACAAATGGGAAAATCCCAGCTTTCTCACACACTTTGACTTTTTTTTGTGCTTGTTGTAGTTGCAGATGAACAGACCCCAGCAAAGACTACCGCCCAGTCGATACGCATCTTGTGCTGGATCATGACAGGACCAAAGTATCTGGAATCACGAACTAAGCACATCAAAGGCACTTGGGCCAAGCGCTGTGACATAGTGCTGTACATGAGCTCAGAGGAAACCGACTTCCCAACTGTGGGGCTCAATGTCAGCGAGGGCAGGGAGAACCTGTACTGGAAGACCATTCGAGCTTTCCAGTACGTCTACGAGCACCACATGGACGACGCGGATTGGTTCGTGAAAGCCGACGACGACACGTACATGATCGTAGAGAATCTCCGCTACGCTTTGTCCAAGTATGACACAGAAACGCCCGTGTATCTGGGAAGAAGATTTTACCCTTTCGTTAAAAATGGCTACATGGCGGGCGGAGCAGGCTACGTCCTCAGCAAGGAGGCGCTGAGAAGATTCATTAACGGCTTCAGCTCCGGATCTTGCACCCATTTCTCCGAGATTGAAGACATGGCTCTGGGACAGTGTATGCAGACAATGGGGGTAGAGCCGACAGACAGCAGGGACATAAAGGGCAGACAAAGGTTTCATGCGTACCCACCAGAAAACCACGTGGTCAGGCAACCACCGAGACCATTGCCATGGTATCTGGTCTATGAGTTCTACCCAGCGGTCGAGGTAAGCAATTACATATCACTGACCAGTCAATCTAAATGTTGTTAAAATACAAATGGCTGTTTCTTTGGCTCTATTCTTGAAGTACCGAACACAAAAACAATTGTTGGAGGGATCACTATATAACAAAAATATGTGTCAGAACAAACACCAAATCCAAACCAAAACTACAGTTTGATCTTTCTCCTCATTGGTCTAATTTAGCCAAGACAGATAACCACGCCCCCTTTTATTTTGTTTAAAATATTGTTTATTCTAGATGCTATTGTAAATCTCCGGATGCTGATTCTTGTCACCGGTCAGTTCAATTTTCCACTTGCGCTGGCAGACTGACATTTATTTATTTTTTTTTGCTTTGCTAACCCAGAGATGGATTGAAAAAATAATGTATATTATGTATATACGTATATGTGCAGCATATTGTCCAATGCTGTGAATGTTTAACAAGAGAAGGTGTTGTAAAATGAATATCTGGTAATATTATTGCAAAACATCTTGTTTTCACTGTCGCCCCTGTTTGATCCACTGACTCCATCGTCTTCAACGCCAAACCCAAAAAGTTTGTCCTGATATGGTTCCATAAAGACTCAGAACTAACACATTAATGATTGTGTAGCGTCTTACTTTAACACATTAATGATTGTGTAGCGTCTTGTTGTAAAACTTAAGGTAACATTAACTGTCTCTTCTCTCCCCACTCCAGGGTCCACGTAGCTGCTCAGACCTGTCTGTCTCCTTTCACTACATACACCCGGATATGCTGTATGTTTTGGATTACCTGACGTACCATCTGAGACCGTATGGATACAAATATCGATTTAATCCTGATGAAACAACGTAATGCCTTAGAGCCACGGCCTCTTTGTACGCTGGACGTAGGGCATTGGATGGTAACATTTCTCCTATGCGAATGTGTGTTCACAATATTGAGGTATGGCTTATTTATAAATAATTTTACAGAAATCTACAATTGTATTCTATAATTGGGACTGATTTTCATATCAACAGTATTTGTATAAAAGTGTGAGCTGCAGCAGACTAGACAATATATTTAAAAAAAAACCAAAATGAATCTCTGCTAACACAATGAGCACGTAGCTCAGTGGAGAACATTTTCCTGCAGCAGTAACTCCTTCTGCACTGCCTAATCTTATCAGCTGCACTTTGTTCTGTTGACCGGACTTCACACCAATCAAGCTCTGCCCCTCCCCTGAAGAAAATGTGTTGAACTCGTAAATAGTATGACTCTGAGATCACTAAGTTACTTCCTTGTGAAAAAAAAAAAAGTCAATAAATTTCATAACCAACCAGGCCAGTTAAAGTTATAAGTGTGAAATGTGCGATTCGATTTATTTATTTTTTCATAGGTCAAAAATATGTCTCACCAGTTTACATGGTCATTGACTGTCTTGTGTGCAGTAAACTAATTTAAACAACCAATTCTCTTTGGAAGTGAGTAAATATTACAGAACTTTTTTTTTTTTTTTACATTTACAATATGTTAAGTTCCACAATTAAAAACGTGTAAAACTGAGAGTTTGTCTGTAAAGCTTTTCTAACTTTCAATGAAAACCTAAGGTCATGGAGATGTACGTACGAAATTGTACAACTCACAGTACATGAGAGAAGTGTCCTTTATTGTCATTGTTTACATAAACCAAGTCAATCTTTAATTGTGCACATGCAACGGTTCAAATGTCCGATTACAATTAAATGCACCAATCAGTTCACGTGACCCAGTCGGGGTGGGAGGGTGTCTAGCACACGACAGCCAATCAGGAACTCCGCAGGTCACGTTCAACTTATCGGTGTGCAGATACGCTGTTTCTTTGTTTGTTTACGGTATGAGCAGCGGGAAACAAGTGAACTACTTGCAAAAAGGGCAAAGAAAGGAGAAAGACAGCGAGTACGCTCTGAAAGGAGGTCGATAAACCAGCACACTAACCTGCTGAGCGTTTGGAGCTGAGTGACTGAATGGAGGAGATGAGTTAAGTCGGTAAGATTAAAAAAACGTCATACCATCGTTATGCTAATGCTAATGCTAATTCGGCGTTTCACAGGCTAATTACGTATCCTCCATTTTGTGAGCCGCTACCAACGTCGCGGGCACAGCTAACAACGGTCATGTGCCTCTTTAAGCTCCTCTGACACTATGAATTACATAATTAGCTTGTAGTTATGTTTAATTTTGTAAGCGCTAACTAAAGAAGGAATTTGTTTCATTTTAATGTGAGTTAAAGTAATTCGGAGAATAATAATTGGTGTCCTGTATCCTTGCACTAATTAGGCCTATATTAGGAGTAAATAAGCACAATAATTTGATGCATCTGAAAACATCCCATTTCATGGGATTTTATGTATTGAAGGTTAGTTGTTATTTATCATAATGAGTATTATTTAGACACTATTCACTTTAACAGAAAAAAAGTGAGTTATTGAATGTTAACATGGTCATACTGGAACTTTGGCTTTCTTGAGTATTTACTGTTGCACAATAAATGCTGTAGAATAGGGGTGTCAAACTTATTTTCACCAGGGGGCCACATCAGCAATACAGTTCCTCTTGAAGGGCCGGTTGTAAATGGACGACAGTATAGGTCAGGGGTCCCCAAACCCTGGTTCACTGACTGGTACCAGTCCATAGGTCATTTGGTATCTGGCTGCAGTGGGACATAATGGGAAAAATGTACTTAAATTTTATTAATTTAATTAATTCAAGGAAAATCTAGTCATATCCATTTACTTTCTTTATTTAAAGATAATAATAATAATAATAAATAATAGGGCATTTAGACTCAGATACTAACAGAATAGAGTCTAAAAGATGTTTTGGATTTTTTAAATTATTTTAATCCTTCATTGCTCAGCACCTTGCTACCGATGTTTAGTAACGACTGGTACTGGCTTACCAGTGCTTGGAACAAAAAAGGTTGGGGACCACTGGTATAGGTGTAACTACTCCATCACAGACTAATACATGTTTCTGCAATTGATTATTATTTATTCAAGCTATAAATATTAATTACTTTTAATAAATGCTCTATGGACTTTACTAAATGCTTTTTAAGGTCTCGTGGGTCCCAGAAAACGACTTGGCGTGCTGCATTTGGCCCCCAGCTCTTGAGTTTGACACATGCTATAAAGAGTAGAGTTTCAACATTTAACCTGTTCAGTGATGTATTTGAGAATAGAATGTAATGTAAGATGAGACCTTGTCTATAGGTGAGGTTCGAGAAAGTTCAAGGACCAGTACGAGATCCCAATCGTATTTGATGGTGAGCTGTTAACCCTGAAGGAAAAGACACAGGCAAGGAGATACAGGTGTGTACACACACACACACACACACACACACAGATACACACACACACCATTAAAAGGTAGTGCAACATATATATAATTTTATATGATGTGTAAAACAGCGCCCCTCTAAATGATTATGTGGTGATTGAGCATTGAAAACATGGTGCACTGCACTCTGTTGTCTGTGATGAGGTCAAGCTGAGTTAACTTTGCTTCCTCTGGAATTTTTTTTTCCTGCGCCACAGCATTCAGGTGTAGGGTCCCTCTGGGTTCCAGGTGTTCTAAAAGTCATATATTCTGCCATTAGACACATTTGATGAATGGCTGCCTTTGATATACGCAAGTTCAAGTCTTTTATTTCAAATAGACAACAAATTAGGAGAGGCCACAGACTCCTCCTCCGTCCCTACTGGTCCTAGTTGCTCCTCCGTCCCCGCTGGCCCCAGTTTCTCCTTCTGTCACCCGTGACCCCAACGTGTCCACCCTAACTGCCGAGGTCCGTCTGAATGGCCGTATCCTCACCCAAGCGTGTGCTGGACATGCAGGTTGAGGTAGTATCAGAAATCAGGGGTGTCAACAATTGTTCTTCGTGACCTCGATAAAACATTAAAGGCCAATAAATTAATTCTATCTTTGCCTTTTTACATGTTTGAAATCACATACTGCTGGGGCCGTATAGCTTCCCAGAAGGGGTTCAAGTTGCTAGGTCTGGCATTCTCTTTTGGGGGGGATGTTCTCCTCTCGCAGTGGTATGCTATGACGGTGTGCCCTCTCCTCCCCAGCGCCACGTCCCTTGAGCAGGCCGATTGCCCTCTCCCCTACTGCCTGAAGTGGAGATCATTGTACCACCTCTCTTGGTCGGTGTTGGGGTCCATTAGAGGGGGTAGCCATGGTCCACTATTGTTGATACACACAAGATGTGCACTCCAGCTAACAGTGTCTGACCATTCTGCCTTAATGCACGCGGTTACAGACACGGGTATTTACAGAGACAATCAGTGCTTGTTTGAAAGTAGAAAACTACTAATGTAACTGCGCTCATGGCCTAATCTGCAGTGCGCTGGTTTAGAGCTGCCACAATTAAATGAATAAGATGTTGCCCTTGAAGTTTCAAACAATTGCATGGATTGTTCTTCTATTGCAATAGTCACAGAGAACTCTTGTGCTGACTCGTGGGTATTACTATGAGTAATTCCTTGTTATCTGCCTTGTGGGTAATGAAGCTGGTGCATGTAATTGTAATTGCAGATATTACAGAAACAAAAACGATCCTGTTGACATGGGGAAACAGAAACAGTGAAGGCGAACTATCTCCCAGATCACACTATCACCCTTTAAAGCTTTATCAGTGTCAAGCACTGATACTGTTTATCAATGTTATTGCATTTTACAAAGTGAAAGAACACATGAAGACAGAAAGATAAAACTGCACTAGTTTATTGGTTGGGAAATGTCTATAGGCTGAATTGCAGAATTTTCAGTAAATTTCTAATTGATCTTTAATCATTGTTAAATGGCATTACATTTTGATATGATTTTAAGTTTGCTTTTAAGACAGCAATGTAACAATGTTACATAGCACTGTGTTGCAACACTAGAAAATTGGTCTATAAGTCTGTCACTCTATATTTTTAACATCTGCATTTTTATTTTTCTTCTTATTTATTCTTCTGGAATAGAGCAATTCAACTCAACTACGTTATGTTACTAACTTTGTTACTTGATTGTTTGGCAGTGTTGGATTGTGGTGAAACTGGGAGGACATGAAAGAGCAAACCAAGAATGAGGTCACAGTTTAACAAAGTAAAGGACATTTATCAGAGGCTCTATTGTTCTTGCCGCTGTTGCACTACCTTTTGATGATGTTGACACATACTAAATACGGATATGCTTCTTTACACACAGGACTGTGGTTTTTGTCAGAGTAGGACTGTGTGTGTACAGTGTTTAAAATGACATTTGTCACAAAGACTGGGAAAGTGTTGGAAGATAGTTTAATCAAACAATGAGATTTAGAAAGTTCTGAATTGCTTTTTTTTTTTTTAACAGCATAAACAATGGTATTAAATATTTAGGAAATGTACAGGTAGGGACAATTGGCATCAACAACATCGGGGGAATTAAAATGACATTGAACCTAAAAAGACACTTTGTGAATAATAAAACATGTAAAAGGTGAAAACCTTTTACATGTTTTATTATTCACAAAGTGTCTTTTTAAGTTACTGTTCTGTTAAAGTCTGTCCTGGGAAAATCTGACACATCCAATATTGCAATAATGAAATATTAAAACAAATATAACAGAGGGTGTTGCCTGCGTGTGAGGAGAAGGTCCAAGTTGCCAATACATTGTTCAGGGATCAGTTTAAAGAGCACAAGCTGCGTCACTCGTTCTGTTCCACTTTGGTGCGGTGAAACTCCTGCTTCACGTACAAACTTGTCCTCCTAATGTGTTAAATGTAGATGCAGGAATCCCTGCAGTCCGCTTCAGTCTTAAAGTTGTTTTCATTCCCCTCGCAGCTGCCATACCAAAACTGGGCACAGGCGTTGGCCTCAGGGTCATAGTACCACCTGATTACGTACTGACGACAGGAGCCTTGGTCTATAGGCTGACTGCAAACTTCAGCTGAAAAGATAGAAAGAAAAAAACAGTTTTTTTATTTTTGTGTATAATGCATTAAATATGGAATAGGAATTTTATTTTTGTGTATAATGCATTAAATATAGAATGTGGACAGACCTAAGTCTCACCCAGATGCTAGAGGAACATGTGTGTCTTCCTACTGCTAATCAAACATATAGATAATGAGTACTGCTATTGTAAGGGCATTGGGCCAAGCCAGTTATCTAAACAACGATTTCCATTGTATGATTTACATTGTATGACTGTTGAAGACAACAGGGTTGTAGTTAGGAGTCAGCAAATAAACAGGAACAGAATACAATAGACGTTAGAAGAGGGATATGTTGAAAAATGGGAAGTGTTTCGGACATAAAGAGAATGAAAGACAGGATGAACATCGGTATTGGCTAACATTCACCTCGTTAACTGCCATCGGGAAATACACAATGATAATTCATATATGTGTATATGGGTATATATGAATATATATATATATGAATTATCAGTCAATTTCCCGATGTATTGATTCAACAAATACCTCTACTGTGCACATCAATTTTACTTTAAAGTATATGCCAACCTAACAGTAATATTGATTAAGAAATTATCA